GAGTTTTAATGATAAGGACAAAATAAAGGGTAAAGTGAATAGTACCATGATTGACTTTTTAATGTAAAAATATGGTTTTTCGTTAAAGTGAACAGTACCGGATGCTTTTCGTTAAAGTGAACAATACCGGATGCTTTGAGTTAGAAAACGGGTAAAAGATGAACATGATTGATAGGCCCATTTGTCCAATTATTGAGAAGGTTAAAATAAGATACATTATCCATTTCTCAAAGTATGAGAAATCTTTTCCGTGGAAATCTCTTTTTCTTTTTACACATCAAAGTAGGCTTAGAGGAATCTTTTTTGTGAAATCTCTGTTTTATTTTACAGAAAAATCATAATTTAATATATTATAAAAATTTCTTCTTTTTTGTGCTTTTAACAAATAAACTTTAGTATATGTGTTAGTTTGTGATTTACATGTAAGAAAAGAGATGAATCCTTAAATTAAGGAGTCAAGTGGTGCTCGCAAAGCTACATATAGTCAAGCCAAGTATGAATTAGAGAGAGAGAAATGGAAAATCCAAGTGTAAATTAAAGTTTGGAAATTAGGAAGTTCCTAGGTTCCTACTGCTAGTCTGATAAGCATGGCAGTCCAACACCCTCTTGAGTTAGCTAATACTAATTCCTGTGATGATGATGGCCATCCACTAAGAACTGGTAAACTTATCTTAGTCTAATTTAATTAAGCGTAAGCTAGCGGTTTTAATACTCATCTTTTAGCTTCATGCACTCGTTATGTGGATGTGGAAAAAATTATATAATATTCAGTATGGAGTGCATGCAGCTAAATTTGGAGCGTGAAAATCGCTGTCTCGAGTTTACTGTATCATTTGGTCTTGAACTTAGATAGTTTCTGGTGGGAAACTCATCAATTAATCAGGAACTCTATGGAGTTGTGTGGCTCATATCATCACTGCTGTGATTGGATCTGGAGTTCTGTCTTTGGCATGGAGTACTGCACAGCTAGGCTGGATTGGAGGGCCAGTTTGTTTGCTTAGTTTTGCGATTGTCACCTACATTTCTTCCTTCCTCCTTTCGGATTGTTACCGGTCTCCTGATCCTATCACCGGAACTCGAAACAAATCTTACATGAATGCTGTGAAAGTGAATCTCAATAGTAAAACACCGAAAACCTCCCTTTTTAGATCTTTTTGTTCTGCATAGTCTTCTGTTTAGGATATGTTTCTAATAGATTGGATTCTTTTAACGTGGGATTCTGATGTAGTTCAGTGATAGTTCAGGTAGAAAAAAGACCTGGTTTTGTGGTTTCCTTCTATATTTCAGCATGTTTGGAACTGGTATTGCTTATGTGATTACCACTGCAACCAGTATGAGGTATTAACTAGCTTCCCTACTGAATGCTGTGTTTTTCGTGTTGCTTGGTTTTGTTTCAGCCCCTGCTTTAAGAACATTACTAGTATTTATGCGTTGGGAGTTTTAGTTTATGCTTTTTAATTTCTAACTCTCTCATATATTAGTGAATAAGATTAACCTTCACTACGATTCTTGGAAAACATGCACAAACAGAACCGGTTATAAAATTTTAATCAAAATAGTACTGGAAGGATGACCACTAAACCATGTTGTGTGTACGACTTATTGTTCGTTCCCGGCTTCTATTTTTTTTTTATGAAGAGTTTGTAACGAGTTTTGTTTATGCATATTTTTCTAGATTATACTCATATAATGATGCTTACACTTCTTTCCAACAGAATTAAACTTCGGAAAGACGATATGTATTAAATTTTGTATTCTATTTTGTAGAGCCATTCAGAGATCAAACTGCTATCACAAAGAAGGGCATGAAGCTTCCTGTCAATATGGGACTGGTTTGTACATGATGCTATTTGGACTTGTCCAGATTGTAGTGTCACAAATACCAGATTTCCACAACATGGAATGGCTATCAGTTGTTGCAGCAATCATGTCGTTTACCTACTCTTTCATTGGACTTGGCCTCGGCATGGCGAAAGCAATAGGTATTCGCTTCGGATTTTCCAGCTTCTTTTCACCAAACCTTCCGGCCTCATTCTTCAGAATAAGAAATAAATGAAGACCCGGAAGTTTGATTTTTAAAATGTGTTTATTAATTGCAGAAAATGGGAGGATTCAAGGAAGCCTGGCAGGAGTGCCAACCTCTAATGTTGCTGATAAATTATGGTTAGTCTTCCAAGCACTTGGAGACATCGCTTTTGCCTATCCGTACTCTATTATTCTTCTTGAAATTCAGGTTGGTTTCCTATAATCTTTTCACAAGCAAAAAAGAAATCTGATTAAAACCGTACGAAATTCTGATCAACTTTAGAAGCTAATTAACGTTGGATTGTGTGATATCTGTTAAATCAAAGGATACTTTGAAGTCCCCTCCACCAGAAAATCAGACAATGAAGAAGGCCTCAATGATTGCCATATTTGTCACAACCTTCTTCTACCTCTGCTGTGGATGCTTTGGATACGCCGCCTTTGGGAATGACACGCCCGGGAACCTCTTGACAGGATTCGGATTCTACGAACCCTACTGGCTCATTGATTTTGCTAATGCTTGCATTGTTCTTCATTTGGTGGGAGGATATCAGGTACTATAAAATAATATCAAAATTTTCAAATTCGACCACTTTTCAATCTCTTGTAATCACGTACGTTTCACATGTTTCATCTTGCAGGTCTACAGTCAACCAGTATTTGCAGTTGCTGAGAGATGGTCCAGGAAGAAATACCCAAACAGCGGATTTGTGAACAACTTTTACTCCATCAAAATCCCATTGTTGCCAAGATTTCAAGTGAATCCCTTCAGGCTGTGTTTCCGAACTGTTTACGTTGTATCAACTACCGCAATTGCGATGATATTTCCTTACTTCAACCAGGTTTTGGGAGTTTTAGGGGCCTTAAACTTTTGGCCCTTGGCTATATATTTCCCTGTTGAAATGTACTTTGTACAAAAGAGAATCGGGGCTTGGACAAAAAAATGGATTGTTCTAAGGATATTTAGTTTCGTTTGCTTTCTTGTGACGGTTGTGGGTGTGATTGGATCAGTTGAAGGACTTATTAGTGCCAAACTTAGCTAGGGAAGTACAGAGAATATTGTAATTTCCTTCAAAATATTACAAAATTTTATTGTTTCCATTGCAAGTTACAAAATAAGATTCCACTGAGCAAATATCCAGCTTATATATCTTGGTTATATAGTAGTTCTACCTGACACTCAGACTAGATGAAGCACATTGAAAACATTAGCAACTTCAACGAGTTAATACCGCTCAATCGAAAACGAATCCTGTGAAGAAGTAGAAGAAAGACTGTAAAAAAGCAGATTTCGTGTCTTGCAGATTTCACCATTTATATATCATCAACCTCTTAACTACTCAAAATTTTATGGAGTGCTTGCCTAATGCAAGTATATATTAAGTTCGATTTTCCATTACACCATAGGGTTGTTATTGGTTAACCATTAAGATCCATATTAAGTTTGATTTCCCATTACACCATCATCGCCACTACCAATCTCAACATCATATTATCATGGAATCACACTAAACAGGTCATAACGGTTATCCATTAACAACCTAATGGATAGATTTTCCACCTCTACTCATGGGCCACAAACCAAAACCTCAAACTCCTATATCTTAAATCAGAGCTAAACGCTTCCCTCTTTCTTACCCCATCAGTGTGACATATTTTCTCTTCCATAAATAGGGTAGAAAGAAGATAAACCAAAAAATTACATAATTAAAACCTATGCCCAATTTGTGGTATAATATTATTTTTTTAACTTTTGGGATTTGGGACAAGAATATTATAAGCATTTTAGCCACAATGACCTTAAAATTGGCATAACTCATCATTTTGATCATGACAATGAAAATTGATAGAAGTAATCCATGAGTTTGTCTACCGTAAATCATTTTGGTCATTTTGTGAAAAATCTATCAATATCCTCGTTAAATTGTCACGTGAGCACGTGACTACCTTTTCAAGAGTATTTTTGTCAAACCAACCCTATTTCTTCATGGAATGACAAATGATTTATAATAAACAAACTCAGATACCCCTTCTATCAATTTTCATTGTCAGGGACTAAAGTGAGAAGTTATGTTAATCTCATAGACCATTTTGGCTATAATGCCAATGTTATATAGGACAATGCTCTCATATTGAAATATTATTGTAATAGTAGATCTCAAAAAACAATGTTACTGTAGCAAATAGTTTCATTACATCGATAACATCTCTCAATATGTTGTCGAAGTTATCCATTATCATATGTTGTTATTGTTGTAGATTAATTTACTACAGTAAATCGGTAATAATAGTTCTATTTGAGAACGTTGTTACTATTTCAAAATTTGAGAGCATTTCCCAATATTATAACAAATGGTAAACATGAGGCTTACATGATCCATACATATTCATCAAAACTAAACAAAATATTTCTTATGAGGGGTTATTTAATTATCAATTTAGGTAGGATCTTGGTAGCTCCATCAGCTTTAGGAACAAGTACATGAAGTCGTCCATAACCATATATTGCATGATTTAGCAACCGTACGCAACATTCTTGGACAACTCCTGCAGACAAAGCCACACGGTTGCAGACAACATGAACGCACAGCTTGGAAGAAACTAGTAGGAAATGCACACGTGACCCGCACGTGCAACAACCTTAACTAGGTTTTGTGTGAGCAGAGCAGAAAGCCACCCAGAAATCATTGATGAAGCATCATGCGTGCGTGCGTGCAGTCAACGAGAGAGAGAGAGAGAGAGAGAGAGGATTGACCGGGTGTCTTGTGGGTGATCTACCGGCCAAGTCTCACACGCTCAATGGCGTTGAATTTTTTAATGAAATCATGCGCCTTTGATGGGATTTTTTCCAGTAACCCTAATAGGCCATGGCCATGCACTTGAACCTTTCATTCATTATATATAAAGAATATTAGAGAATAGGTAAACCTGCAAGAAGTAGACTCTCTCACAAATATTAGAAATTTAGAAAAAAAAGAAAACTCCCCAAGAAAATGTTTTCATTTCTTTGTTTTTAGCAAACCAAAATCAAGGAAAAAAGTTTTAGCTCTCTCTTAATTAGCTTAGTTTACTTCCACTGCTCTCCAACTCTCAAACCCTTCTCTTGATTTTCTTTTCTTTTCTGAAAATTGTTGGCATTTTCTTTTCAGAAAATCTCCCGCACGAAGAATATTATTAGTGGCGTTTTTTTAAGTTAAGGAGTGAGAGTTTTTACAAAAGTAGATAGATAGAGTGAGAAAGAGATGGGTCGGATTCCATGCTGTGAGAAGGACAACGTGAAAAGGGGGCAGTGGACTCCTGAAGAAGATAACAAGCTCTCTTCCTACATTGCCCAACATGGCACTCGTAATTGGCGCCTCATCCCCAAGAACGCTGGTAATTACAACTGCAAAGCTCTCTCTCTCTCTCTCTCTCTCTCTCTCTCTCTCTCTCCGTCCCTCCGTCCCTCCCTCCTAAAACGTTCTTCATTTGGTTTACAAGGTTTACAAAGATGTGGGAAGAGCTGCAGGCTACGTTGGACGAACTACCTTCGCCCGGACCTTAAGCACGGCCAATTCTCCGACGCGGAAGAGCAAACAATTGTCAAGTACCACTCCGTTGTTGGCAACCGGTAATTCATTAATCTTTTTCTATTATATGATCCAAAAAGAAATTGTTGTTAGTACTCTAAAATATACTCATCTTGCATTCCTTGCTTATTCTTTTCACTATAATTAAATAACTGCAAGATAATCTTTTTAAAGTGCAATAACAGCTCTCATAAATGTCACAGATGGTCGTTGATTGCAGCGCAACTGCCTGGCCGCACCGACAACGACGTGAAAAATCACTGGAACACCAAGCTGAAGAAGAAGCTATCGGGCATGGGGATCGACCCCGTCACACACAAACCCTTTTCGCACCTCATGGCCGAGATTGCAACCACACTAGCACCGCCGCAGGTGGCTCACCTCGCAGAAGCAGCCCTCGGCTGCTTTAAGGACGAAATGCTCCACCTCCTCATGAAGAAGCGCATCGACTTCCACCAACATACCAATCCAACGCCGGGAAACAGCACTGCCACGTACATTAACAGCCAACAGGAAGAAAAGCTCGACACCGTCAAAAAGATCAAGATTGGTTTATCTAGGGCAATGCAAGAACAACCGGACATGTTAACCTCAAACAAACCTTGGATGGACACTATTGGAGCAACATCTGCGAACTTCACAGGGAACTGCAGTGATTTCCCCTTGCCCATGTCTGGATTTCAGTACGGCCATTCCACGTTTGGGAACGAAGGCGATGGATCGCCGTGGAGCCAGAGTCTGTGTACCGGAAGTACGTGCACGGGGGCGGCGGACCAGCAGGGCCAGTTGGCTGACAAACTGGAGGTGGAAGAAAACGGAGAGGAGTCCGAGGGTAGAAAGGAGCTGAGAAACGGATCATCCAACATATTCAACTCGGATAGTCTCTTGTGGGATTTACCATCTGAAGATCTAATGAATCAGATGGTTTAATATATAAGTTATACAAGTGTGTGAGGGAAATTTAAAAGATAGGTTCAAATAAATTTAAATTTCCTGTGACAGTGACAAACAACGATAATGTGAATAAGGTCATTATATAAATTATGGTAAAAGATCATATTGTTAAAAGAAAATTATAATTTACTGTGAGTTGCATGGTGGATCATGCGAAATATGAAGATGAAGAAGATGAATCATGCGAAACAAGTGCTTTTAAGGACCCTATTCTCCTCACATCCTCCTCTTCGTTTCTAACGACGGCCTCATCTTCAACCTCCTGCTTCTCCAAACCTGGCTGCATCTCCCCCGAAACCCTTGTACACAACACGAATTGGGGATGTTTTTAATGGTTTTTAATCTTAATTTGTGATGTCAGATTTGGTGAACAACCTTCTTGGCTGTCGGGGCAAATGTTAGCAAATGTTAGTACAATGACAACGATGAGCAGTAAATGTTGTAGTCACGGGTTGGAGGCGACTCATACGTTACCAGAGACACCACTGGTGAGTTCTCAGTAGGGGTAAGAAGATCACTCTTCGCCTTAAGGAAGAACAGCTTGAGTACCTTGAGGAGCACCGTCTCATGGATTGGATTAAGAAGCACTCTGAGTTCATCGGTTACTCAATCTCACCCTTGATTTGAGAGTACGAGCGCTGAGAAGGAAGGGGCTGTTTAGGACGTCAACGAAACGAAGGAAAAAGAAGAAGGAAGATCTAAGGCGATAGGTTAATTCTTAAAACATGTTGTCTAACTTCACTAATCATTTTCCGTGAACGGAACAGATGGCGCGGTTGATTGCCTGGTCGCACCGGCAATGACGGGAAACATCATCAAACTGAAGAAGCTATCGGAAGAAAACGGAGAGAAGTCCGGCAATGATGTACTTATTCGGATGGTCTCTAGGGAAGAGACTAAAATAAATTTCTTTGGCAATGATTAACAATGATAATGCAAGGCTTATTAATATAAAATTATGGTAAAAATAAATTATAAAAAAAAAATAAAAAATTACAGTTCATTGCTAGCTTTCAACCAATTTGTTGTACAACTATGTGGTTTCTCTTTCCTACGAATTACATGGTGAATCATGCGAAATACGACGATGAAGACGACGTATCAGCCAGAACCTGCATATATCAATTGAAGAAGAAAGTTAGAGAACCAGAACTAAGGAATAAATATTTTAGTGCAAGGTTTAGTTTGGCCAGCACACGCACCTCAAGTTGCTCTTCAGTAAATGAATCTTTCTGAAAATTC